TTGAATATTTGACAACAAAAATTGCTTCTTTATTTAATCATAAATTTTATGGTCTTATATATAAAAGAAAAATTGAGTTGATTTATGTATTCTTATATCAATATTCAATTCAATGTCAAAACAAGGTTATTGATTATAAATTTTTGTTGCATACACTAATTCTAAACCCTTTTTAATATTTTACTTTGTAAGTGTTACTAAAATAATATAAAATTAGTATTACCTTTGATAATCTCTTGAAATCAAGTTCCATACACCATGCTTCAATCCATTCTCATCAAATAATCCTCCATATCTATTTTTTATGTATTTTTTAATACTTGATTGTAAAATTAAAGCTATCTTTATCTATATTCATATACTCCCATTTACCAATTTTTAATCCATTTCTATATTCTCCAATAAATAGCATATATTTGATTCTATAATAAGAGTTCAGAAATACTTATATCTTTTACAATATTCTAACCACCAACCTTGTTTTTGACCATCTATATCAAACTATCCTCCACATCTTTGTAATTAATAAGTTCTTACATTGGTTTAAATTTGTCACAATATTTTTAAGTCTATTTTACATCCCATTTACCAAATTTCTTCCCATTTTTATATTCACCTTTGAATATTGTAATAAAATTATGATAAGAGCTCTATAAATTTAATTCTTACAAACGAGGTTTTTGTATATCAATCCATTCACCATATTTTTGGCCATTTAAGTCGTAGAATCCTCCACCACTATTTATTATTCATTATAAGTTACATAATTGAATATTGAGGAGTATTATCTATTTATTATACAATATCCCATCTACCTATTTTTATACCATCTTTATAATCACCAAAGTCAATAAGAGATTCGCTATTAAATCTTTTTATAAATAAACTTTTTGAAATATGAACGCGATTCTAACCATTAACCTTACTTTATTCCATTCTAATCAAAATATCCACTTCCACTAAATTATATATTATAAATACATTTTTCTTTTTTAATTATCACGAGAAAATGACTTCCAATCTCCTACCTTTTTTCCTTAATTATACTTCCCCTTAATAATGATCCCACTAATCTTTTAATATATAAAAATACTTTAATGAGTTGTCAAAATAATTTTCTATCCAAAATCCATGCTTTGTCTAATCTTTATCAAATTATCCACCTCCACTAAATATTAAAATTAATTTACATAATTTGAAATTCTTATTGACAGTATTAAATGAAGCCAATTCCTTCTTTATAATCATCAACTTCTTCTGTTTAATTCTAATTTTCTTAATTATTTGATTAAAATGAATTGCTTAAAATAATTAAAGTTTACTTCATATTTATATCTACCATATAATTTTAGCTTGATGATCCAGAATAACTACAAATATCAATTAATAATTACCAATGAGAATTATTTATTGATTCATCAACTTAAAATAATAAAGTGTCCCATCTTCCAATCTTTTTGCCAAATTCATAGTCACCATAATATGTAACCAGCAGATCACTAAAGATAAATAACCAAAGTACTTCTTAAAGTTTTCATGTAACTCCATCCATTTGCCTTATTTAAATCCATTCTAATCAAAAATGCCACCGCCACTTAAGTCTATAAAACATTTAAAATACATAACCATGACTTCATATTCGCCTCTCATATAATTTGTCTCCCATTTGTCAACTTTTATTCCATCTTTATAAAATCCAAAATAAGTTATTTATTTCTCACTACTATTTATTCAAATTAGATACCTATGAAATGTATCATGTATTTCAGTCCACTAACCCTGCTTGATTCCATTTTCATCAAACTATCCGCCTCCCCTTTTGTAATCATAAAATAATTTACAAATTTTTAGCTTCCTCTACTCTTTCAAGATGAAATATGGTATCCCATTTATCAATTTTCTTCCCTTTTTAATATTTACCAATAGAAAGAACAAATAATCCATCGTTATTGATTTAATCAAACTAAAATGAACATTACTCTATATCCATCCATAAGCCTTGTTGAAATCCATTTTCATCAAAACTACCTCCTCCACTAAACCGTTTATAATAAATTATACATAATAAAATATTAATTTTTTGAAGTTGATCCTTAAAGAATCTCCCATTTACCATATTTTTTTCCATTTTTATATTCTCCACAATAAGCAAATATATCAAATCTAATTATAAATTTAATTACACTCCATTTTAACTCTATACTTCTACCCATTTTCCATGCTTCATTCCATTTATATTATATGAACCTCCACCACTATGAATCATATTTTTTCAAATACATAATTTTGTAATCATCAGTATCTGACTTCAAAAATAAAATATTCCATCTGTTAATTCTTAAACCTTGATGATATTCTCCAATATGAGTGAAGTGATAGCCATTATTTGAACTCAATTCCATCCATTTTCCAACTTTCACTCCTTCTTCATAAAATCCGCCTCCACTTCATGAATATATTATAATAATTACACAATCTCAAAATCATTTCCTTATTTTTATAAAGTATACCATTAACCACTTTTGTATCCTTTTTAATAAACACCGGAATATTTCACTTAATTTTTCCTATTTAGTATGACAATACTTAGAATAATTATTAACTAATTCCACCCATTATCCAATTTTGATTTCATTCTAATCATATACTCCTCCGCCACTTTAATTATTAATAATTCCTTACATCACTTTAAACTCAATAAAGTTGTCAAACTTAATTTTAGTTTCCCATCTACTTATTTTTTTTCCTACCTTATATTCTCCAAAGTAATGAGAAACTTGACTCTGGCTTTAAAATCATTATAATAAATACTTAGTTATACTATCATTCAACTCAATCCACCAACCATCCTTTAATCCATTCTTGTCAAATTATCCACCAATGCTATATTTAGAAATTATTGTACATTATTTCCGAATTCATTAAATTAATTAATTAATAATTCTGAGAAAATAAATTATTAATGAACATATAATTATAGAAACTGATTGATTTAAAGAGATATACACAATAGTTCTAAAACTAATTAATTAGAACTTATATTTCTGAAACTTACTCTTCAAAAATCATAGGAACCTATAATTAAATTATCTAAAGACTACAATTTTAATTTTAATTTTCTATCTTTACTAATTATTAGATAAAAATTAAACAGTGTTAATTTAAATTTATTAATCAAATATTTAATTGATTTTGAGTCATTAAGCTAATTATTAAACGGGGAGCTTTAACAAGCATGCATTAATTTTGAATCTGATGAGATAGAGTGTAAATTTATCCATCCCAACAAATTTTTGGCATAAAATAATTACTTTTGTGAATGAATAACGATTTTAAATTATTAAAGCTTTAAACTAATTTGAGAAATAGATTAATGAATATATATATATATTATAAAACTATTTTAATCTTAACTTTACATTAACTTAAAAACCATTTTCTGGAAAGATACTTGCAATCAAAACTCTCAAATGTGATTCTATTGCTACCATCAAATTAAATATAAATCTAAATCCAACATTTGATCAATTTAGAGATTGATCACCAATTTCACCTTAAAATCTATTTTAACTGATAATGTTTCAGGTTAAGTATTATTTTGTAGATAATTTTTTGAATTAGATAATTAAAATAAATAGATTTGGAGAATAATAGTTAAAATGTTATCTAAAAAATATATCAACAAAATTAATTTAAATTTCTTTTTTGTGACTTCTTTTAATCAAAGATTTACTTAAGGTTATATTTTATGCAAAATTATTTGAGATTTAAATTTTCCTGAACTCTAAATATTGTTAATTAAGACTATGAATATTTAAACTAAATTTTAATTATTAACACGTATATTATGAATAAAACATTAATCATTCATAATTTATTTGAAAGATGCACAGTTTCAATTATCCCCAAAAGTTGAAATTATTAATAAGTGTTAATATCTCCTAAAGGTTTTATGAAGTTTTTGTTGTTTATAAACTTGTCCAATCTTCAAATTTGATTTTACATTATTAATACTTTATTGGGAATCACTTTGAATAATCAATCTGTTGTATTAGTTGAATTTGGTCTTTTTCTTAGTTAGAAGTCTTTTAAAAATATTCTATTTTAATTCAAATCTAAAGAGCCTATTGCTGATTTGCTTTTGGTATAGAAACTTGCATAGTTTTATAGTTTAAAAATCTTTTTTGAGTTTAATTCTTATTTTTGATGGGGAAATAGAATTCGAGATTAATTTCTAATTTTTTGTGTATTAATTAAATTTGAAATTGTATTACATAATCTTTTAATATGACGTGTTTTTTGAATTGATCTTCTAATTTTATAATTATTTTCAAAAACCTATCAATCATTAATTCCATAATTATACTTGAAATGATATTGAAACAGAATACCAACGAAATCAAATGAGAATTCCTGAAAAAAACTTATGAAAGTTAAAATTGCAAGAAAATTGTATTTTGATGATTTTGTTAAAAAAAATTTTAAGTATGGGTCCATAATAATATACAATTTGAGATTACTTAAGAAGGAGATTTAAGTTCTTCTTTTTTCATTGAATGAAGAAATGAAAAATTTGAGTAAAATAATATGAAGTATTAGCATAAAGACAATTAAGGAATGAAAAAAAAATTAATAACAAAAAGTAATTAGAAAATAAACCAAAATGCTGAAAATATTAAAAAGATTTTTAAGAAACTTTAATTTTAGGGCTAATCAATAAACTGTCATAACAGTATAGCATATTCAAAAATTTACAATATAAAAAATAAATTAACTTGTCTTGTTAATAGTACTATTTCAGAAAATAATAAGTAATTGTTATATAAATTGGTTTTAAAAATTAATCACTAATATCATTTTGGTTAAATAACTTAAAAAAAAGTCACAGTTCAAAAAATATAGAAAAGTATTTATAAATATAAGGTATTTTTAATGATCTTACTCAAATATAATTTCACTTTTAATAAAAATATATTGAGTTTTAAAAAATGACCTCTTTTTCATACTAAAAATGTCCTGAAATCTTTAGCCCTACATATCCCAAATTGACTTTATAAATCTAAATACTTTTTAATTAAGTTAAAAGTAATTTGGATAATGGAGAATTATAATATTAGTGGTTACGAAATACTTAGAAGAAATAAATACCTGGAAAAGTGCTGTTTTAAAATAAGTTAGATTATTTTTTTACTATTATCCAATAGTTCCATTTATTTTCCTGTCTTAATATCCCAGAAACAGATAGAATAATCATAACTACTAGATGCTAATGTAGATCCATCAAGAGATAAACAAACTTACTTGAAATCATAAGTGTGACCAACTAATTAATTTAGCTCAAGTATTTTCAAGTTCTTCCTACTACAATAAAATAGTTGAGATCCGTTTAAATTTCTCCCACTAATATTAACATTATAAAATTCAGATCCACTTAAATTGCATCTCCAATTAAATAATTATTCTTGATCCTGATATTTTGAAAGCATTGATTCTTAATATCAACCTTCATCTTCACATTGTATGAATTTTTCATCCATGGTTGTGATGTGAACTAAACACTTTATAAATTTAATTATCCCTTTATTTTTGGCAATCTTATTCATTAGATTTTATCTTTCCTTTTAGTCGGTTTCTTATGAGTAGTCAACTATTGTATTGTGGTGATCCTAAATGTGATTTTTAAAATACTTTTAGTTTTTTTCATTTTATTACTCATATCTCTAATATAAATTTATTTTCAGGTAAAAATTCATAAACCTTAAGATTGTATCTTTTCAAAGAATCCTAAATTCTCTTAAATTTTCACTTATCTAAGTACATAAATAAGTACCTTGAAAATAGATTCATCAATATCATAAATTTTGCAAAAATTTCATAAAGATCCTCCATTATTAATCTTCTTCGCCTTCTTATTGATTAGGTTGAATACTAGAATAAGATTTAAACTCTTACTTAATTAATGATTGAATCTTTACTATACCTTCATTAGATCTTTAGATAACAGCCTCCATTACATATTACCACCAATGATAGGTCTTTTCCAACTCCACCATATAAGATTTTTTCTCATAATTCCATTCATTTAATATTGTTCCTTCTACAATTTATACTTATTTTTCTAAGTTAGTATAAGAGGATTCTGCTAGATTAGTATTTTCGTTGATAAGATCTAATTATTTCTCTGTTCAATCCTATTGTTAATAACATTTTTTAAATATTTCAATTGGAATTGCATTTTCAACATTCACTAAAAATGTGCATAAAGGCATTCAACGCAAAGTTTTTTAATATTCACACTTATTTGGAGCTTTACATATTGAAGAAATTTAATTTTAAAGATAGTAAGCTAAATTCATATTATTTTTATTCAATTTATTTTGGAAAAATACTTTATAATAATAATAATAATATTATTAAAAAATTAAAAATAATTCATAAATCTCAATTAATTAATTCATCATTCCCTTTTCACTTTAGATAAACGTTAAGCTTAATATCTTAATTCAAACAAAAATAGAGATAAAAATTACATGATCATGCTAATTTTTGTATTAAGGTCCAATACCAAAAGAATGTTAGAAGTATATCACTTAATTTTTTTTTTGCTAAGTATCGATATAAGAATGAAGTTAAATCTCACTTGGTGATATTACTTTGTATTATTATTATTATCTCATTAGAAATTCTTTGAAAGAAACAACTTGGCAGAGGTGAGATTAAGCAGAGAGTGATGAGTTATATATAATATCTGCTAAAAAGAAGTATTAAAAATAAAAAAATAATTTTTTTTGGTTTTTTCTTTATCTCAAAAGCAGTAAAATCAAAGTAAAATGAAAAGTATTTGACACTAAAATTTCTAAATATAAAAAATTTTACCAAAAATTAAATAGAAAACAAAATTAATTTTATAAAAATTCATCAACCCGTAGACTTGAACTCGGATCTCTGCCGCTCTAGGGCAGCGTCTTACCTCTCGACTACTTGATGAGATATTATTTTAATAATTCGAAAACCCTTTGTATATGATTTAGATAATAAACTATTTAGTTAATTCTATCAAATCCAGAAATTAAAATCAGACATATAACATATAAGCTTGAATATTTATTTTATAATATATTTCTGTTTTTTTTGGGTAAAATTTATTATTAATTTAAAACTAATCTGTCCAATATTATAGAGTTGGCGTTTATTTAATATTAAAAGTGCCTGAAAGGGTCATAATAAACATTTAAAATCATTCAAAAAATAGGATGTTTAAATTCAAAAAAGGATAATTAAGATTTCTATTTCAAAAAATTAGAAAGAGTATAAGTTTAATAGAATAGGAAAAAAAAAGCTTTCATTAATTTAACCAAAAATCTAAATTTATTAGATATGAAATCAATTACTTATTTGTTCTATGAAATTTATATTATACAATAAACCCAATTATTAGTATAAATATTAATTAATTACTTAAGTACTTAATTAAATAAATATATTTAATTATTCCAAATTTTTCTTCCATTTTCTAAAATTTCTTATTCTTATACTTTAATATTCATTCCAATTTCCTATTTTGTAATCATCCTTATCTTGCTCTTCCTTCATCTAATTCTTTATACTCTTAAATTGAATTCCATCTACATCAAACTAATATTTATTCTTGCAGGTTATTTTATTAATAATGAAAATCTACAAATAATTTAAGATGAAAATTAAGGTTTATTAATGCTGTGAAAAACGATAATAATATATATGATAAGTATTTAAATTGTTACAACTCAAATTGAATCATTATTGTTTAAGTATAAATTATCTGTTCTACTTAACTCTTCTATCAAGTGATTCTATATCAAGAATAAATAAGATATAAATTTGAATTAATTAATGATTTATGAATAAACTCATAGATAAGCAAATGATTTATTAAATTATCATATATTATACATATTTTCATTGATTATTCCTTCATCTAGCACTTTATATTCTATTTTATAGTTTTAGAATATATGGAATATTCTCAAATAAAATTGACATTAATGTAATGATAAAGATTAAGATAATAAACAATAAAAATTATTTTAAAGTGTCTATATAAAATTAATCTAAAGTGCAATTTATATTTGAATATCCATCTTTTATTGTACATACAATAGATTAATAAAATTCAGAATTTTCCAAATAATAAGAGCCAATAAAAACCAATATTATTAAACCAATAAACAGAAAAAATAAAAATTAAAAAAGGATTAGATTTCTAGAGGATTTAACTAATTTACATCTGCAAAATTTTTATGAAAACAGTTAATATTCTTCCTTACAACATTCACAATATACAATACCACAGTTTGGACATTTAACTTGTCTAGATTCATCAAAAAAGAAAAGTAGGAGTTAACATTTCTTACATCTTTGATATTATTTTTTCTAGATTAATTTTCTACAATATTTGCATTAGTTAATTATTCCCTTTTAATGAATACATATAAATTTGGAAACAAATATATTATTGCCTTTTTTATTCAAGTGAAATATTTATTTGCATTTTTCACATTGGATGTAATTTGATTATTCCTATAATCTAATAAGTTTACTTTGCAAATGAAAATTGAATTCTTATACTGATAAATAAAGAACAGAAAATTTTCCACAAAATTAAAATTTTTCTAACTTTTTTGAATTTCTACACAATTCACAATCAAAAATTAAATATTTTCCAAGCTACAACCAAATTCGACTCTAAGTTGATCTATCATTAAAATGAATGCACATCTAATAGCTTAATTTTTATTAATATTTATGAATTCAAAAATCCATATTTATATTTATATCATTGTTTCATACCATAAAATTGTAATATATAACTCAAAATTGTTATTGCACAAAATTCTATTGGTTATATTAATAAAGTAAGATTTTGTTTATTTATTATATTCTTAATCTAGGTTTTATGAAATTGTTAAATAATTAAAGAAAAGTGAATATTCCTCATCAATTATAAAAATATCATCAAATTCAATTCCAGTAAAACTTTACTAGACAGTTCATTCTTAAGGCTTTCAGAATAACCCTTAACTTTTTAGCCTAACTAACTATTTTAGGTGATCGATCAAATTTGAATAATCAAAAAATAAAAGGATTTTGTGGATAAATCTTATATATACAATTTTATATTTATATTTAAATCCTCCTTAATCTTTTATTCAATTTATGATTTATAAGTAGTCTCATTTAATGCAGGTATCAGTTATTTAGGAGTATACTTCTAATTTTAATTTAGAGAAGAATTAAAAGAACGAAATAAAGCGTTTTGAGTCAGATTGAAAAAATTACTATATTTCTATAATTTTAATGTAGTTCTTACTTAAATAACTTTTTATGCTTTTATTCAAATTTTTGTTTAATAGAAATTCGTCAATTATTGTATTTTGGGCTATATAATAACATATGTAATTTTATTTGTTGAATAAAATGATGTAATGAAACTTAATTTTTTTTTTTACCCACTTCTTTATTAGATTTTATATTCAATCAAATATTTTATTCATTTTCTTCTTATTGTATATAAAATATCTGCGTCTAATTTATAATTACATTAAAGTCATATATTAAAGAATACTGAAAAAAGTTAAAAAATTTAGAAATATTTATATCTTTTGAAAGCTTATAATGATCTCAGTAGATTTTCACATATAGAAAAACCTAAAGAATGTACAGTGAATTAAGAAAAAGATGGAATATATAGGATTATATAGACTTTCCGCCTCGAAAAATAAAAAAAATTTGTAATTTCTTTCTAAAATCAAAATGAAATAAAATATACCTAAGATGGATCTGTTATAAGAATGTAGTAGTTCATAATTATTTTAGAGATTATATTAAAGACAAGTAGACATAATATGAAACTCTAACCAATTTGGAATAAATAAAATATTTATTTTAGTTTGGGGAATACGGAAAGAATAATAAAAAAATAGATAAATGGATAGCCACATGGAAGGTAGAAACCTTAGTAGATGTTGGTGGCTATTATAGAAGAGATGAAAATTTGATGATTATAATCATTATACTATGATTAAGGATTAAAATAAGGTTTATGGAAAGAATTAATAAGAATAATTGGAAGTCTATTAAATTAATTTATTAAATAGTGAAGTCTAGGTGTAGGATGTTGGAAAATATAACAATAATTTGAGGAAAGGAACATGGAAATACATTTTTCAGAATTAGGAGATGTATTGAAAAATTTTAAGTATTTAAAGGAGGGGGAAAATACAATTAGCAAGGATAAAGAAATGACAAATGGATAGAGTTTGAAAGATAAATTTTCTTATTATTCATAAATTCCACATAATGGTTTATATTAAGATGGTAAGAAAGGTAATTAATGGGATATTTACTATATATAGAAAAGATGAGGATCAACCATTTAAACTGATGTACTCATATTATGTATAAATTATTTAGAGGGGGCAGATTATATGATGAAGCAGGTTCCATGAAGATTGGAAAATGGAACGAAATAAGTTTAGGATATGATAATATGTCTTAAGTGATGTATTAAGGTGAATATTCTAATGGTAAGATGGTTGCAATGGGATATTTTATTTCGAAAAAATTAGCAGATAGCATATAAACAATTGTATTTCTTTCAATTAAATTGTTTAGAGGATGTGGATTATATGATGAACAAGGTTCTAACAAAATTGGATATTGGCCTGAATTGAGCGACGAATTTAATTATGAGTCTTAAATAGTTTTTTATGATGAATATTAAAACGGGAAAAATGTTAGTAAATGGATTACTAGAGAAGAAGGAGATTATTTGTAACATTATCTTATTAATAAAAATATTATAATGGTGGAGGGTCATATAATTAAGGTGGTTTAATTAAGGTTGGAAAGTGGATTGAAAGATGGATTTGATCGATGGTTTCAAGCTATTTACTATGGCGAGTATAAAGTTGGTAACAAAGCAGATATTTGGGATATCTTTTTGTGGAAGCCCCTAAAGCAATCATTTGAATTGATTTAATTATTATCAAAAAATATTATATCGGTAGCTGATCATATGATAAAGAGTGTTTAATTAAAATTGGAAGCTGGAAAGAGCTAAGTGAAAGATTCAGGGATAATTCTTAAGTCACGTATAATGGTTATTATAACAGTGGTAAAAAATTTGGAAGATGGGACATCATGTATGAGGAAATCTATTAGTAAATAGTACTAATTAGCCTAATTTTTAGTGGTGGAGGATAATATGATGAAGATTCATTAAAGATTGGAATATGGATTGAATTAAGTGAAGGCTTTTCAAATTATTCATAAATCTCTTATAATGGTAAGTATTAAAAAGGGAAAAGGTTGGTAAAATGGGATATATCTAATGATGAAGTAGGCACAACAAATATTGGTAGGTGGATTGAGGAGTGCGATAGTTTTAATGAATATACTTAAGTTACTTATAATGGTGAATATAAAAATTGCAGAAAGGTTAGCAGATGGGATATTTTGTACAGAAAGCAATTTGTTAGAAAAAAAATACCAGTGGTAGTGGATTATATAATCAGGAAGATTCACTTAAGACAAGTCTGTGGATTGAATTGAGCAATTATTTTAGTAAGGAATAGTAATTTATTAATCATGATGAATTGAAAAAAGAGGAAGTAAGAAAGTTAATAGGCGGAAATGGATTAGCTATCAAACAAAATAAGTGATTAAATTCAATAAGATAATTGAATAATTCATCATTATAACAATAATTATCTTGGCTATAAATTTTTTTCTTAAGTGTTTTTGTTTTTTAGACCTTAAATAATAAAACATCTTCTTTTTTTTTGAATACTAGTGAAATAAAACTAATTATTTTAATATGTATCTGCTATTTCAAAATTAATCCTAAATTTTATTTTTTTGATATATGAAAATATCTCTCTCATACATGTTTTAAATTTCTTTAAAAATTAGTAAATTTAATCATTTATATCACAATATATATATTAGTAAATATAAATAATTAATCAAATAAATTAAGACTGGAATACTTCTAGGGCGTTAAAACAAACAAGTTCTAAAAATAAATAAACCTAATTCCTCAAACAGAAAAAATAGTACTAATTAAGTATATTCAAAATAAAATATATGTTATAATTTATTGGAGGCTATAAAATACTCTTTGAAGACAAAAGTAGTTAAAATTCCAATATAAAAAAATACAATATAAGAGAATATTTAATTCAAATAAATTAATTGTAAAACAGAAAACTTACAATAAATTATTCTAAAATTGACTCAAAAATCAACAAGTAACAAATAAAATTTACAAATTTTATTTTTATTCTTAAATAATATTTTATTTCACCATCAATTCTTCCTTAAATTAATTTGCGTCCAGGTACCAACCTTTTTACCATACTTATATTCACCATTTTGAAGTATTTAATTTGAATTCCTAAACCCATCATGCAACTCAATCCACATCCCAATCTTAGTCCCCTCCCCTTTCTCGTCATACGATCCTCCACCACTTTAATTTTTTAGTTAATACTCTTACATCTATTAAAATTTCCAATCACTCTTTAAATATATATCCCATCTACCAACTTTTCGGCCGTATTTATATTTTCCAATATAATACACTTGCGAATGATCATTAAATTTATCCCACAATTCAATCTATCTTCCAATCTTAATACCATCACCTCCTTCATCATACTATATCTAACCACTTTTTGTAAAACTCAAAATAATATAATTTTACATCTATTAAAATTGTTCCATACCTTTCTGTCTATACGAAATGTCCCATCTACCTACTTTTTTCCCATTTTTATATTCACCATTATATATGACTTGCTCATATAACCCAAACCCATCTCTTAACTCAATCCATCTTCCAACTTTAATTGAGTCTTTTTCATCATAGGAGCCCCCAGCACTTATCATTCGTTTAAATTATAATTTTACATTTTTTTATTGCCTACCCAACTCCAAAAACTCTCCCATATACCCACTTTTTGACCATTTTTATAATCACCCTTATAGGTTAATTTTGAATCATCCGAAAATCCATCACTTATCTCAATCCATCTTCCAATCTTGCTACCATCACCCATTTTATCATATTACCCCCCACCACTAAATATATTAATAAGAATTATTTACATCAATAAAAATTGTTCTTAATCGGCCTCCTTATACTAAATATCCCATCTACCAACTTTTTGATCATTTTTATATTCGCCAGTATAAATAATTTTAGAATTTCGACCAAACCCATCACTCAATTCAATCCAACTTCCGAATTTAACTGAGTTTTTTTCATCATATTATCCTCCACCACTAAAGTTTATAGCATTGTAATTATTACAGTTTTTCATATTTTGAGTATAAATGATTCCCCTTAAATAAAATATCCCATCTACCAACTTTTTTATCGTTTTTATATTGACCACAATATGTGACTTGAGAATCCCTCCAAAATCCATCACTCAATTCAATCCATCTCCCAATTTTAACCCCATAATTTACTTCATCATATAATCCACCCCCACTAATAATTTGAATAATTTCTTATACATTTTATCACCAACATAAAAAATATCCCATCTTCCTATTTTTTAACCAAATTTATATTAACCGCGCTAGACGACTAGCGATCTATTAAATAAATTATCACACAATTCAATCCATATACCAATCTTAATTGACTCAATATAATCATATGTTCCACCACCGCTAAAATTTACTTTTTAATAATAATTTTACATTATTTTAAGGGGTTAATTAATATTCCACCTATATAAAATATTCCACATGCCAATTTTTTTTCCATTTTTATATTCACCATTATAAATGACTTAAGATTCATTCATAAACCCATGATTCAACTCATTCCATTGACCATTCTTCAATCCTTATTCATTATACGATCCACCAATACTGAATAATTTAAAAATTAAATACATCTTTTCATTATCATAGATGTATATCCATTTCCCAAATTTTTGATCTTGAATGTATTCTCCTATTTCATATACTTAGGCTTGACTTAATTTATATATCTTAATGAATATTTACCTCCTATAATTCAGAAATAATTCACCCCATAAGCCTTACTTTAATCCATTCTCATAGTACCCACCAATTAGATTAAGATATTATCCATTCCAAGCAGCTGTCCACTTGCCGATTTTCAGTTAATTTTGATCATAATTTCCTTACCAATATAGATTTAGGATTTATTCCCTATTTACTAATAGATCAAATTCCTTACTAGCGCCTTAACTTTATTCACTTTAATAACTAAAAATGAATATTTACTTTCTCAAAATGACTCCATCTTATGAGTAAATGATCTCATTATCTTTCGAAATAGTAATCAGAATTTTAGCTTTTACCAGTTTCTCTAGAATTTAATCCAATTAAGCAACTTCATATTTATTGTTTCTTTTTTTTTTAATCATTGATTAAAGAAAAAGAAAATAGTTTTAAGTTTCGTAGTTCATCTTATTATAAATAAAATTTATATATTTAAATTTTAGAAAATTATTAGATATTAACATCGAAAAGTATTGCTGTGTCATAAAAAAATAATTTTTAGATATTTCATAAAAGGGAATCGCTCTGTAAAATATGCTAAAAAGTTATTATTATAATTAAAAAATTTAAAATATCAAGTAGTTAAATTCTTTATTTACATTAAACGTTATAAGAATATGGTTAACAATCAATTTTAAAAAAACTATTTTATATACTAATATAATACTTTGCTATAAATTTATAATTAGAATGAATTTATTATCAGGCATGAATAATGAACTGTACATTCATGAAAACATTCTTAAGTATGATTATAAATTGTAATTAATTTTCTATATTGAAATAATTAACATTTATTTTCTTTTTAAAAACTAACATTATCTTTTTTAAAATCAAAAACAAAAAAATGTTTTAATAGGAATCAAAAAAGGTATTTGAATAATTTAATATGCAAGGTAACCTTTCATTTTTTCTTAATATTGTAATCTAAATTGTTTAGATTTGGATGCAACAAATTATAAATACTAGTTAAATAGATTATCATCAAATAGATGAACATAAACTGAGAAGCTTTAGAAGATATTTTAAATACTATTGATTAACTTTAATATTTTGTTCTTTTTTGATGATTTGGGTTGATTGTTAAATTTAAAGATTTTTTTCCTTGATTTTGGAAAAATAATGAAAAGTTTCAAAAATTTAGTTGCCCTTAGACAAGATTCATTTACTATTGAATATTGAATTTTTCACAAATAAATTAAATTTTTAAGTTTAAATAGACTCTGTTGTAAGCAAAATAAAAATAAAGAAAACTACTATTCTTATATTATTGTTGTTGATGAGAATGAGTTGATTATATTAAGTGGTAAACATTCTCTGTTATAATTTAATAGCCTAAATTATCTTGATCATTTGGCATGAAAACATAAGCTCTATCAACTTTTTTAATTGAAGATTAACCACAATAATTATTATCAAAATTTAACAGCATTTTGTTTGCCAAAGTGAATCTCCTCTAAAATAATGAATAGATTCTTTGTTAATTCTTATCATTTGATACATATTTGGATGTTAATTTTCTTTTGGAGTCCATTTTTTTTTTGGAAAAGATTGAAAGTAGGAATAAAATGATATTGAGATATAGAAATTGTATCCATTCGCGATTATAAAATAATGATTTATTTTCTTATTTATTTATTAAGATAGGTATACCAATTTTTATAAATAAAAGAAAAGAATAAGCAAAATTAATAATTACTTGGAAGTTTAATTCATAACAAAGAAAATTTTTAGTAATTAACAAGAAAATCCAGATTAAATGAAATCTATATATTAACTACAATAATAATTATCAATTAGTTAAATTGAGAATTGTTATTCAATAGATTTTAGTAAAGATTTCAATACTATTGCAGTTGGAGAATAGTAAATAATAAAGGTTTATAGGTTTACATCAGAGAAGACAAATTTAATTAATAAATTAGTAGGTAATAGAAAAGAGATTTCAATATTAAGATTTATGTTGAAGTCTAATCATTTAGTTTCTACAAGTTTTAATGGTTCAATTTCTATATGTTCTTAGTACCTATTAGCAAAACCTTTAAAAAGTTGCAGGTTATTAAATCATTAGAAGGGTATTATATGTTACACAATAAATTCAGATGAAAGTCTTATTATTACTTGTCTATATTAATGTTTGGGTTAAAGAATGAAATGATGGATTTGTAAATAAAAATTACCTGATCATACTATGGCTTTATATGCAATTAGTATGAATGAAAATTAAAGTAAATTAATCTTTTGAGGTGATGATAAATAAATTTTAATATAAGGGAAAAGCAGTTGTTAATTAATAAGAATGGTGATTATGTAAATTAAATAAAAATAAATTAAATAAAGAACTTTTTGTTGAGTAATCAATCTATTTTGGTCATTGTTTTGTTTTTGGAACATTAAGTTATAATGGCGAATATCTAGCTACTTGGGATTTTAAAACAGGACAAATTTAGATCAGAAAGTATCAAGATAATTGATATTATTTTTACAAAAAATATCAATTTTTTATTTATTTTTTATTATTCTTCGAGGTCTTAATTTTGAAAATATTATAATCAACATAATACTTTCAAATAAATTTATTAAGATCTTGTAGTTAACAAATCAAAGCAAGAGACAGTTTAATCTTACAACGACTTTATTTTTAGGCATATTCTTAAAATAAATAAAAAATTATATTGAAAATAAAAATGTATGAATACATGCAATAATTCTAAACATCATAAAATCAATTACAACGATTACAAAATAATAATTGAACAGAATTCTATCAGAAGTAATTTAAGGTCTTTATTATTTTCAAAGTATTCAAAAGAATTCTATTTCATTCAAAAATTTAAAACCATTCTAAATTTAAGGATCAAATATGAATCCTAAATGATTGAAGGATAATATGTAAAAAGGCTGCTACACATGAATCATGTTTATATTATCGGATATAGTTGCCTGATGATATTGAGAAACAACTAGCTAACATTTTGAAGGCAATCTCCTTCCACCTAGTCAAACTCAAGAAACTAGTTTCCTTTTTGGTCTAGAATTTTGCTGTCACTATCCATTAAAATTTACTTACAAAATTAGAGTTTTTTTGGTATGAGGCTTGGGCCATTAAACAAATTTTTTCCCTTGATCCATCTTTGGGGTTAATCTTGCTTAAAATGTCTTTAATCTCACCTAGGAGATACCTAATATATAGTTGCGAGCACAGCACTACTTTTGATAAATGATCAACTATAGCTACTTTATCATTCCTAGAGCTAAAATGTTTGATTTTAAGCTACATTCAAAACTTAACTAAAGGGTTTTAAAAAAGTTTTTGAAAAAAATCAAAAATTTCAAATATTTAAGAGTATACATTTTTCAAATTATAATAAAACAGAACATAGAAAAAAATGTAAGAATTTTATACAATTTTATAATTAATGAAATTAAAAATTTGATTAAGTTTCTCCCACTTTAATATGTGATTTAATTATGACTTACATTTGTAAAACTTAATTTTGAGATTTTTCTCCTTAATGAAAACTATTCTGTTAATAAGTTTGAAAGTAGGCTCTAAATTATTACAAAGTCATGGGTATATTTAATTATAATTTCTCGCTTATTTATAATAAGTATTAATAATAAAAAACTACGATATTTTTATCAACTGAATAATATTAATTAATTTTTTGTTGATTATATCATATTAACTGTCTGATCTTTCATCACAAAATGTGAAAATTGATAAAATTTAATAATCATTTTTAAGAATGTTCTAAATCTTAATAGGATAGATTGTTTATAATTTGTACTTATTTTTAGTGATCATGAATCTGTTACTAAAAATATTTGTATTCAAGTTTATTTAAAACATATATACTCAAAAATTCAATAAATTAATTATTTTACTCAAAATTAGGTAGTTATTGATTAATATATATTATAATAATTATATTAGTAGCAAACACCCAAATAACAGTAATCTAATTCTAATATTTATAATTTTTAGCCTATAGGATGTTAAATTAAAAAATAATAAAAATGTAATGCTTTACTTTTAATACTTAAACACTTTACTTTTTTTAGTGAGGTTCGGTAGAAGTTTATTTCTTTAAAAATGGAACATTAAAAACATCATCTAATTTACTAAATATAAAGATAAAATAACCACATTAAGTTATTTAAAAAGGAGTTAGGTATTTAAACGTTTTAATAATTAATTAATAGATAGAAAATTAGAATTTTTATTTAAGATTATGCTTTATAAATAATGGAACATTTATTTTTCAACCTGAATATTTAAATTGTTTTTTTTATATACTCTTAGTAAAAATGGAGAACATTAAAATAAAACCCAAAATCTTTCTGATGATGATGATAATCTAGATGATGAATTTTTCCTACCATCTATAACAAAAAGAAGAGTTTTGTTTTACTTAAAAATATGATTGACCTGTAATATTAAAAGTTAAAAAATCAAAGTAATATACTAAACTATTTAGATAAGAAATTAATGGAGTTTAATTTAAATAAAAATATTAAATTTTAAGTTACTTCTATTCAAAGTTAATCTAAGTCATAAAATGGATGAAATAAATATGATTGAATCAATTTTATAATTATCAAGTAAGCTTAATATAAAATAATTTCACTATTAAAAACAGGTTAAAATAAAGTTTATTATGATAATCAAACAACTTAAGAAATAGCTGGATTATTATTTTATTTTTCTCATAAACATATTAAAATATATTCTACTATTCTTATTTAATTCATAAGTCTTTAATTTCCAAATTTAAAATTTTCAATAATTCTTTAATATTTATTTTTATTTTTATATCCACTTTTCAGTTAATTTAAGATCATTAAACTATAAAATGAATACTCATATTTATGTATTTGCCTTTAACTACAATGAGTTCAAGTTTAAGCGTGAATATTCAATGATTTCATTGGAGGTTGAATTTGGGCGTGTTGATAATATTGTTTTTTTATAATAAGTTTAAAAAAATTTCAATGTTTCTAATTGTGTTTGAGTAATAAAATAGCCATACTAAGCCATATTAAATTAAGAAATTTATTTGAAAATTATACCAATGAAAAATTTAGAAAATTCTGCTTTTAAAATATAAACATGAACAATTAAATCTAATTCATTATTACTTTAGACACTAGAATCTTAAAGATTTAAATAAATCTGAATATGTATAAATATATTATTTATATAAATGAATTGAAATTCACACGAATTAGTCTATCTTAAAAGATAGATTATAAAATTATAATTTCAATTTTTAAATCATACTCGAAAACAGGATTTGAAATTCTCAATAGTTATAAGAATAAAATACTAATGAAATTTAATAATGAAGTCTTTTTATTTTTGTGAAAATTATGAATTTGTATAATATGATAATTTAAAAAGTATCCTTTTTTACATAAATAAATTACTCTATAAAATAAATATATAAATTGATATGTATATATTTAATTTTTTTTTAGTTGATTAACTATTTTGTAAATTTTTTACACCATTATAAATTACTTCTTTTGGTTTCTTATCTAATTACCCTTGTTTATTATTTCCTTAAGAACTTTTTTAATCAAAGTCATTAATACCAGAAAAAATTCTTTCATAATTCATTTCTTAAAATTAATAATCTAGAATTAACCACGCAAAACAGACATTAATTGTTTTAAAAAGTATTTTTAGATTGTTAAAAGGAGAAAAAAGATAATAATATAATTATCTAACCAAAAGATTTATGCATTTGCTAATAGAAATGAAATAAACTAAAATTAATATATAAATTTGAATAAAACTTGTCATTAACAATTAAACATAAAAATTTGAGGTTATAAATCAACTAATTCAAATAGGAACTTTCATAATATCATAATGATGAAGTTAATTTCTGTAATATTTTTCATGAAACAAATTCAAGTATTTTTAGATGATAAAAACATTATTTAGATATTAAAACATTTAAAATTAAAATTTACTAATATTAAATTTGATCTAAGTATTCTAGAGTTAACTATTCTATTGGCATGGTACATTAAACCTATCTTTTAAAAAGTTAACCATAAATTTTAAGTATTTAGAATTTATATCTTAAAACAATTTAAAAACATGTTTTTTAGAAATAAAGTTGGATGGTAAATTACAATCATTTTTACAAGTTCCATTCTCTATATGTAATAATTTTACATTTGATTTAAATTTGATTCCATCAATTTATCTAAGATTTAAATTCCAATGAATTATATATATCTCAATTTAAGTAATACTTGCTTAGACATAGCCTAACATAGATATGTTAAATAATAAAAAATATTATATAAAAGAAGATTCTTTTTAATTCCTTAATAATGATTTATTAGGTTAATAAAAATGGGAAATAAATCATAAAATTCCTGTAAAGCTCAAATAAATGAAACAAAATATACAGCTGCATTAAACTTATTTTATAATAATATTTAACTATTCTCTTTAAGAATATACAAATAATATTAGATTATAAATATCAAAAGATTATAGAATAAGATATTTAGTTATTCTATGTATTCTGTAGATCATTCGTATCCCATTTACCAATCTTTAAACCATTTTTATATTAACCATGATAAATTACTTCACTTTTACTAATTAATGAAAATAAATATTGATTACTTCCAGAACACATTATTTAAATCTATCCATCTACCATTTTTTTAGCCATTCTCATCATATTATCCTCCACCACTAAATAAATAAAAGTATTTTACATGATTTTGTAATTAGAGTCTTTACTTTTATATAAAATATTCCATAAACCAATCTTATTACCATTTTTATATTCACCATTATAAACGATTTAATTCTAACTAATAAATTAATAATAAATCAATACTTCTAGACGCTGTCATTTAAATCTATCCATTTTCCAACTTTTTAACCATATTTATATAAACCCCCCACACTAAGTCAAATTTCATTCATACATCATATTATCCTAAATAATAAATTTCCAAACACCCTATTTTTAGTAATTATAATATTCTCCATAAACATAAATGTCTGCTTTACTTTGAAATATTTATAATTAATTTACCTCCAATAATTATTAATTAGTTCAGTCTACAGCCCTGACTATAATCCATCTTCAGAGTACCATCTGTTAACAGCTTCTAAAGTTTAGCCCTTCCATATTGCAATCCATCTTCCAATTTTCTTATCATTTTTCCCAAATTCACCTTACCATTTAAGGTGTTGAATCTATTCTAAATTAGTTATCAGATCATATTTTTTTGAAGGCTCTTTAATATAATCACTCATATTAATGAAAATATCAATTACATTCTTAAAATAGATCCTTCAGAACTTATATATTTTATTTCTTTATTTGTCGTAAGTGAGATTTAGATTTTAGTTTTTGTAAATTTTAGGTTCTAATAATCAAAATAATCAACTAAGAGTTCTTCTGGTACTTAAGACCTGAATTATTGAACTCTAAATTTAGGTTATCTTCATTTTACTTACAAGATAATCTACTATTATAGTAAAAGAACATATTTATTATATATATGATTTTATTTACAAGAACATTAAAAACATTATAAGAACAAAGATTTAGGAATTATATTTACAAAAAATCCTTAATCAAGGTGAAGGAAAATAATTGAAATAAAAAAATTGAATTTAGGTACAAATGATATAGCATTTAAATTTTCATATATATAGGGAAGAATGGTTGGTCTAAATTTTATAGGAACTATTCATATAATTTTGAGATCATATTTGTGTTAATCAAAAAAAATATTAATTCTATTTATTAAATCTTATTGAAGGAATATGAGATTAATTTTAATTGATTTAATAAATAGTTCATAATTATCTGAAAAATGTAAGTAAAAATAACATATATTAGAAATTATATTACTGGAAAGAAATTTTGAAAAATTGTTTGAATAATAAAGGAAATGATTTAAATAATTAATAAAATGCATTTATGAGAAGGAAAAAATATTGAATGATATAGGATATATACTCAAAAATAACCTAATTATAATAATGTAAGTCATTTCTAAATTATTTAATATTTATAAGCAATTTTAAGTATTTAAGGTTGATTTAAGTAATAGAATAAAAACTAAAAAAAAAGAGAATGAAATAACAATTATGATATTTGAATTAATTGTTCTTTTATACTAGAAAGGATTTCGAATTTATTTTATAATATTTTTTTATTGCTTTTCTTCTATTATTTTTTCGCTAAATATAATATTTATTAAAACCTATATTAAATAGATTAACAAAAGAATATTTTTATTTAAATATAAATTTTGGGAATAGTTGTTATTTATTTATTCATAAGTTAATAATCTTCTGAAAAACTATAATTTTCTTTTTTAAACATGTATGGATAAAATAATTGTTTGTATATAGTATGAGTGAGTAAAATAGCAATCGCAAGTTTATTATTAAATTGATTATTGTCCTAATTTAAATATCCTTATTCTCCTAATTCATTTCTGAAGATGATTCAACAAATATGCAGATCAATTCAATTGAAAATAGTTTTCGACCAATTTAAGTTTAATAGGAGAGTTAGTAGTTGCGATTTATTAAATGGGGTTTTGAAGGTTCTATTAAGAATTATTTTAATATGATTAGTTGATTTAATTATTGCATTATTCTCTTTTGAACATATTATAATTATAAAATGAATTTAACACACTATGAATTTGATAGATTATCATTTAAGAACTTCTTTTTTAGAATGAAATAAATTTAAAATTAATAGTGTATATATTTGATTTCATATATCTTCTTTGTAATTTTAATATTTTCAATTTTAATGGTGAATTATTTTACAATTATGCTGTAATAATTATTAATTACAGGTTTAATTAAAAGAGGATTAGGGCTTCATTTAATAGAGTAATTATATATTATAAGAAAATCTAATTTATATATTACAAAACAATTCAGATTTTATATGTAATGCTTGATTATTAAGAATTATAACCTTGATAATATACATTTTTTTTCTTATTAAAAATAAAAAAAACAATAGTTATTATTTTGATTCTAAAGCTATTTTTCAAATGATTTTTGAACATAATAATTTATATAATTCAATGTAAATCTATGTATAGATGCCAAATGGAAAAACTATATTAATAGATGTTTAGTTAGATAAGACCAAAGTGAATGATGTAAAATAGAAGGTGATGGAAAAATCAGGATTAAGATTAGAGGATATCATTTTAGTTTATAAAGAGGAAATATTGAGAAATGATTATTTATTGAAGCAATACGGAATAGATAAGGAGGCTAAAATTGATGCCGAGACAGCAGAAACACTAACTAAAAATTTTAAATAGAAATTAGGTATTTAATAAAATATTATTCAAAAGATGCACTTGAAAATGAGATACAGAGATGGCAATAAAAGTTTGGAGAAGAAGGAGCATAGAAGGAGGAATTGTAAGAAAGATTGAAAGAAAGTTCAAACAAATTAGATGAGTAAAATTAATATTGAAACTAGGGTTAAATAGGAGAAAGAAATGTTACAAAGAGATTTTAATTAAGTGAAAAACTAGCTTGAATAATTGTAAAAGAAAAATGCTTAAAATGCAGATTCTCAATAATCATAAATATCAACATAGTCATTTTTGGGAAATGATTTGAAAAACTTAGAAATAGAATTAGCATCTTATAAAGCAATTGTAAGCAGATTTGATATGGAGAGAACAGAATTAAATTCATAGATTGCCTATTTCAAATAAGAAAAAATAGATTTACAAAAGAAAGTGGAAGACTATTAAAAATTGAAAGAGGATTTGATAGGAAAGACTTTTGAAATAAAAGGATTATAAAAAGATTTAGATTTTGCTAATAGTCGTGGAAGTCAAACAAAAGATGAAATAAATAGAGAATTAGATTTCTCAAGATAATAAATAAGGTATGTAAAATAATTAAATATTAGAAAATTGGAATAACAATTAGAAGAAGTAAAAACAAAAAATCAAGAACTTGAAGTAGAAAAGGTGAAATAAGAACTGAAAATTCATATAGATTCGTAATAGGTAGAGAAATTAAATGAATTACAATCATAAAATTCTCAATTAGAGAAAAGAATTGCAGAATACAAGGCATAAGTGACTAGTTTAAATGATTAAGTGAGATTATTGTAAAATAGAAGTTAAGAAGAAATGAGAAGTTCGATAAGGGGAACTGATTTTGCATCTGCTGAAAAGATTCAAGTAAACATAATTATAATAGATATAGGGTTATGAATTACAAATAAATAGATTGAATGCAGAACTTAAGTCTTCTTAATAATCATTTAATGAGAGTTAATAATGTCTATCAGCTGCAAAGAAACAATGTTTTGATAGTGATAAGAAGATAATGGAATTGGAGAAAAGTGTGGAAAGTCTTACATATTTATTAAAGGAAAAAGATAGAGGAATTAAAGAGAGAGAACAATCTATAAAATAATTAAATATTGAATTAGAAGAAACAAAGAAAGATCTAATAATATATTAAAAGAATTTAAGTGATTTTAAATAGATTGCTCAATAAGCAGATCCAAAAAAAGTATTAGAGATAGATAGTGAAGCATTAAAAGTAGAAGAGAAGTTGAAGGCAAGAGAAGAGTAAAGAAATAAAGAATAAAAGCGATTAGAATAATAAAGATAGGAGGAATTACTTGGAAGATAAGAAAAATTAAAGTAGGAATAATAATAATACTTTGATTTGATGTAGAAGGGTAAAGAACAAAGGTAGAAAACAGCTTAATGTATATCAATTATATATCTTTAGTTTTAAAGAAATAGATGTTAGAAAGTCATGGTAAGATTGAGGTTTGTTTTTTGATTGATGTAACAGGATCAATGGATCCATATAAAGAGTAGGCTATGAAATGTATAAAGGAGAGTATGAAAAATATAAAGATTAAAACAAATAGAGATGCTTTATGGGCAACTGTTGCTTATTAAGATTTTGGAGAGTTGAAATAATTAGGAGGATTATACAAGTAACTAAATTTCACTCCAAATCCTAAAGAAATAGAAGAATATTTGGCAGATATTCCTTGTGCAGGAGGTGGAGATGCAGCAGAAGATATTAGAGGAGGTATAATGTAAATGATTAAGAATTTACATTGGAGTAAGACATTCAAGATTGCTCTATTGATTTGTGATGCTCCTACTCATGGTAAGAGATATAATGGTGGAGTAAGTGATAGATATCCAAATGAAGATATTGAAGATGCTATTAATTTACTTATAGATCATAACATTTTATTTGTTGCTATCCTATTTAATAAAGTGACATTACCAATGTTTGAAGAAATAAAGAAAATGTATCAACGTGCAGATAAAGAAGAATTATTATTATTTGCAGATTTAGAAAATACAGAATAAGGTAGAATATGGTAGGAGCTTGTTGATTTGGTTTCTTAAGCATCTTAAAGAGCAACTCAAACAAATAATAAAGGAACTAGATCTAAAAATAATCAGGCTAATAAAAGATCATAGTCTGGTGCTATGGAAGCACTTTGCAAATAGATCAAGGATCCATTTTAGTTTGATAAATTGTCAGGTGTTACAATCATTCCAGTTAAGTTTGGTGTTTATAGAGTTGAATTGAAATAAGATTCATTTGAATAAAATATAGAAAATCTTAAGAGACTTGACATTAATAGGGATTATAGTGTTTATTAAGAAGGATAATGGGATTGTATTAGAACTGAGAAATACTTTGCTTAGGGTTAGATGAAATAAGTGTTTTTAATGAAGAGACAAAATAATTAAAATGAATTATATGTGATCAAAATGCCAATAGGGGATTTAACATATTCGAGTCAAGAATAAGCTGTTGTAGAATGCAGATCTCATCTTATATCTAAATGCTTAATGAAGAAGTTTATAAGGGAATTACAAGAGGCAAGAGATAAGATTGACAGATCAATGAAGATTCCAGAAGTTCAATATTCAGACTTTTTAATTTTGAAGGATTTAGAAAGGGGAAGTAAGAATATTAATATTATGTGTAGATTCATTTTGGATTGCAGAAAGATACTTTACAGGTGAATTTGTCAAATATAATAATAATTATGGTTTTATTTCAGATGAAAATTCAGATATCAATCATTTAGCTTAAGCTTACACATATTATACATATTTCATTTCAAATTTTAATTATATGGTTAATGATGTTTAAGGAGTTGGAAATTATTTCACAGATCCTGCTTTGAATACAAAAGATAGTAATATAAATAAATATTCTAGGTAATTTTGATGAAACCGATATGGGAATAGATGGATAATCTATGTATATGGTAAGTTACGAAGGAAAAAAGCATATGGGAAGAAAATACTTAGACTTGCTAAGTATACCATAACCATGAGTTATTAATAAATAATATATATCATAAAAATATTCATTATTCTGGTAATTTATATGGTTTTTTAAATGCAATTTTAATGGAGGGATCCTGTGTTACAAGTTGAGTTAAAGTATTAGTCATCTTTTATGATAAGAATATTTATGCTTGCAAATATTTTGATAAGCAATTTTCTAAATTACCTAATTCACATACTTGAACAGGTTTCTTCATCAATATTCAAATAAGAGATAGACATATCTTTTACACATTGTTTGAAACAACGCTTTTATTCTGAATATCCAGTTGTTGATGGATATAAAGTAAGATCTGGCAAATCTAAATCACTAATATCAGGACCGTGCATTAATTAATTAAAAATATATAAAAATATTTATTAAATTTTCACATACAATCTACTAAAGCTTTAGATAAATATATCAATTGAACTTCAATTTTGGCAGCAATAGTTAATAAAGTTATATGACATATTTCATCTGCACTTAATTTTAAAGGTATAATATCTAGATGTTTCTTTTATAATAAATTTGGTGTCAAACTCACAATCTTTATAAAAGCCTTAAGTTCTTTAGGTAATAATTTATTCATCTTTATAATTGTGTATATAATTTACCTAAGTTGAATAATCAATATCATCATGTTAATATCGATAAATATTTTAGGCATATACTCTTATTGCCTTTCTAAAAGCTGCAGTAGTGATCTATTATTCTTTACCAAATGTATTTCTAGTCATTTATTTGACTTCCAATAAAAAATCATGCATTTTCTATGCTCCTTCTGGATATACTTATTTTAAAACAGGATAACTGTTCATTTAAAAATTGTATTCCTATATTATATAATAATGATGAGTACAGAAAATCGCAAGATTTAATATCCAGTTGAGTCTTTGATTTCATCATTTGTAAAGTACTTTTAAAATTTCTCTTTAAATTTCAATATCAATTATTCTTCATCTAAATCAGATATTTCTTAAGGTTCATCAATTGATTATTATTTTGATTTAACTTAAATGATTTTATCAGATGAACAATTTTAATTATCTAAGAGTGCTTAATTTTTTAATTCTTAAATGATATATTCATTTTATGTTAAATCAATTTGTTATTATTATTATTATTCTTAAGGTAATGTAAAACTAATACTAGTATTACCAGATTATAGATTGAGAGTTTAATCTATCTCTTTTAGTATACCATTACCTTAAGAGAAACATCCAATATTATTATAAAAAATGAATATCATCAATGCTTAAATCAATTCTCTTTTATTCCACTTATTATTCTTTAATATCTATTATAATGTATTTTTAAGAGATTATTCCCATGGTTTTTAGACAAGGATTTTACATATAGTATTTAGAGATTTGATTTTTTCATCAATACTTTCATATCCTAAATCTACCCAATTTTTATCACCTTCATTCAAATAAAACTATTAGATTAATAAATCATATAACTAATCACTTCCTGATGCTGCAGCTCCCTAATTAGATTATGATTACTTTATTACCATGATTGCAAAATAATATTTTTCATCTTATGATAATTTAGTTTAAGTATTTAATAAACTATCTAACACATGAAAATATGGTTTTATTAATGATGGAAACCATAATAATAATATTTCATGTAATGCTATTCTCCCATAGTTAAGATTATATAGTTTAATCAATTATTCTTATAATTGATTAGAATTTACATCACCAATAATAGGCCAAGGCAGATTTTTTATTTTACTTTCCAAATATTGATTTAATATTGGAATTTGTGGCAAATATTTTTAATCATGGAATTTAGATACTCTAAACATTTTAGTCTATTTTGAAATTCATTTTTACTTATAAATTATAATCTTTAGCAATGTTATCATAACAATCAATAATTGATTACATAGGAGTTTAATTAATAACCATAGTAATCTTAGATTCAATCGCAGATAAGATATTTAGTTCATCTTTGTAATTATTGATCAATGTCTCAAATTATTACAAACACTAGTCGAGCTTACAATTATGTATTAATCGCTACATGTTCACCATCTTCTTATGTATTTGTGAGATATTCTGGGAATGCAGATCTGATTTCTTAGCTCTCTTATTCCATAAATAATGATATATTTAATTATATAATTATTTTATAAATAATAGCACGTGTTAGAAATATATTATTTATAGATCTATCTATAATCATCTTTTCTAATAATTTATAACATTGTCTTATATATATTTATCAACTAAGTAAATATAAAACCATAATCGAATTATAAATTATTATAAAAAATTGATTAAGTTTATTAGTTAATATATATATATATTAAATATTATTATTATAAAATGTAGTTGTAATGAATAGTCATAATCAAATTTGAATAAAATTTGGAGACTCCAATAAATAACCTTATTCATTTTAAGCAGCTATCTAAAACATTTCTTTGTTTTCAAAAGAAATATATACATTACTATTTTTAATTTTTCTTCGAGAACTTAATTATTAAGATTAGGATATTGAATCTAATTAATTCTAACGATTGAAATAATTATTAAGCATAGTTTTAATTTTACTTAATTATTTTAATCTTTCATCTATATATTACTTTTACTGATTAAATTCATTATTTTTAATAATTTATAAATATCCAGATAATTTATCTTTGTATTTTCTCATTATATACCTTTAATGATATAAAATAATAATATACTTAAAAGGTTTAATCTACATATTGTTCAAGATGTTTTATTAATTTTAAGCAATATCCACCTAGATTGAATTTAATTCTTCTTGAATATCTTGAAGTTATTAAGACTTTTCATTAGACTATAACTAATTAATTAGTTTCAATGATTTTTTATGAATTGATGTTAACATTTATTCCAATTAATATTGTAAATTATTGTATTTAAGTTCATAATCGTTGTTTTGAGATATCTAAACTATATTATTGCATTCATTTAATAAAGATTTGATGGCCTACTAAAAATTATCTAACTATTATTATTTATATTGATTTTCATTATTTTCATCTTAATCTATGGAGAAAGCATCTTCACATAATGATTTATAATTAGGTTAATTAATGGATAGATTTTCTGTAAGTGAATTCTTATGGTGAATAATGTTCATCTTTTAATTATTCTTACAATTGAGGATAGAAAATTCTTAACAATAAATTTTATTTTGATTTCTCAAATTAGAATCAAAAAATTAAGCCTCCAATTAAAAGAATGCTTACTTTTTTTGGTTAATGGAATGAACATTGTAAAGACTATTAAGGCAATGATTTTTATTTAATGGAAATAGGGGATTGAGTCAACTTCTTTTGTCCAATATTTTATGATAGACTAACTTTATTTTTATTTTTTGTGTTTGTTTTAGTCAATAATTAATAGATTAATTTCTAAGGTGATAAATGTTTCTATTATTTTATTTCTATAAATATAATTAATTAAATATACTTTTTAGTTCATTTTGACTTTTATATAATTCGATCATCTTATTGACTTCATTAAATATATTTTCTTTATTTAATTAATTGAATGATTCTATTATGTTACAATTATTATATTACCATATTATTATGAAAGAAAATGATGATCTATTCTACTATTATGTTAACTCATTAATTCGTTAGTTTAATATAATAATAAATTATATAAACATTTTTTATATTTTATAACAATTACAGGATTAAATAATCATAATCAGAAATATGTTAATTACATATAATATAAATTAAATTCCATAGTTTATTAGAATTCTAGTTTATATTATGAAGTATTACATAAAAACTATGATAATATTTTATAATAATAATTAAATTTAACTCACTTCATAATGATAATTGCTAATGAAACATAATTACTTTCAAGCCAAAGCTAGTAGAACATTGAATTTTAGGTTTAAAATACTGTAAATAATTAAATTCATGTATATATCTAATATAATCAATTTAGATATATAGATAATTAAGAGCTAATGATTCATAAATATAAAATAATAGTTTTCATTATGATGATCTTGATCCATAAATTAGAAGAAAATGTCTTAATTTACGTAATAAAATACATTTTGAAAATTAAAAAGATGAACTAGAATTTGAAGATATTATAAAATAATGGAATTAAAGTCTTTAATAAAATACTAGATTAAATTAAATGGTTACCGAATAATTAAATTAATAATATCAAAATAATTAATATTAAACAGATTTTCCAGTTTCAAAGATTCATATCCTAGATTATGAAGAAAATCAACCAATAACTTCATTCTCATTATTTACATCAAAAGATTTGATAATTGAGAATCTTATATTATAAGATATTCCTTTAGAGAAATCTACATAAACAGATTATCCTAATTAGAAAGATGATAAATTTACATAAACAGATTTAATAGATATTGATAAAGATGATACTGAAAATGTAGTTGAATTTTTTAATTCTTCATTCTACAAAGATTTAAAAAATAAATAATTCTTAATTGATGCTTAATTAATTGTAAATATATTTATGATATTATTCTTAAGTCATTGATTTAGACTATCTTTTTAATGCATAATGAAAGAAAAATATAAATAAATGAACCAATTAAATAATAATTAGATTTATTAATGAAAAAGATCAAGAAGAAAGATTAGATTAATTATAATACTATTGTTATCATAAAAGATAGTGTAGATATATGATATTATTTTATTTATCTATAAAATATATCTATAAAATTTTCATATCAAATAATCTTTAAAATAATTAGTACTATTGTAATATAAAGTGAAAATCAATCTAAAAATGTTCCATTCATATGAATATTGAAAAAAGCTCTTAAAAACATACTACAAGTTCCAATAGTTCTCGTAGTTCTTCGTAAATATAGAGATTTAATCTTATTTAATTAGTAAACCAAGATCCAGATCAAGATCGAATAGCCAAAGAAGAGATAGAAAGACTGAAAAGACTGAATCCACAGATGATAAATAAGGAAGTGATTAAAATGTAAAGATTGAGTCTAATCTACCTTAATCAGCTAGAGGAAAGAGATAAGTAAGAAAAATCTAATATCAATTGTTAACCTATATTAAAGATTTACCTAAAAGACCTCTCAAATGTCCAAATTATCCATAGTAATTTAGAGAAGTCAATTTGGTTACCAATAATTTTAGTGTTCGATCTAAAAGAAATGGAGTTATTGTTGTTTATTCAGTGAAGTTTTTACCATTTATAGATCCGTAATAAATTTCAATTAGATATTAAGATAAAATAACAATCTAAAGAGAGAAATTATTAAAAGTTAAGAAGAGGCCTTGAGAGAATTCTTAGGACCTTTTGTATATTATAGCAACACTATTATAGGAGGAAAAGAATCTGCAACTTTTAATTTTAAATTAGAAAAGCCTATCAAATTTGAAGAGTAAATTTGTTAAATTATTATTTATATAGTTAAGATTACTACTTAGAAATTAAAAAAGTCAAAGTTATTAATATGCAAGATTTAGAAAATCCAAATCCAATAGAAGCTGATAAACCATTAATGTTTTTTAACTATTTGATTAAAGATTTCTTCAAAAATTTAAAATATTAAGAACATGGTAAAACTAGAAAATTTCATGTATATAAATAAAATCTATTTATAATTTTAGGATATATCCAGAAGATAACCTATTCCTGAAACAGAATTATCTGTGATTCCTGGATTTGCTGTGAATTTTTAAACAAATGAATAAGGATTTAGTTTTAAAATTGATATCAGTCATAGAATTATCAGAACAACTACTGTGTTATAATATATTGATTAAATTTGGAAAGAATAATCAAATAAGTAAAATAGAGAATTATAGAATTAGATTACAAAAAGAAGAGTTAAGAAAGTATGTAGCACATGTAATGACCAAATAAATGGTACTTGCCAATTATGGAACATATAGAACATATTCAGTTGATAATTTATTATTTGACTAAAATACAGCAGAATTTTCTATTGAATTAGCAGATTCAAAAGGAAAATAATAATTTATAACAATGGATTAATATTTTAAATAAAGATATAATTATGATATTAAGAATAAGAAAGCTCCTTTATTAGTAATTGAAGATACAAAAACAAATAGAAAGGTATATTTAGTAGCTGAATTATGTATAATGGCTGGTATTCCAGATAATTTAAATGAATTTACAAGAAAATAAATATAAAAAGAATGTTAAACTAATCCAAAAGATAGATTTGAAAAAATAAAGAAAATGTTATTTGATTTAATCAATCGATAACCTTAAACAGGATTAACTATGTAAAAATTAAAAGAGGAATTTGGTATTGATATAAATAGTGTTCCTTAATATGTAAAAGCAAAATAACTAAGACCACCTAATATAGTATTTGGAAATTAAAATGTTATGCCTTAAGGAGACAAAGAAAACTTTTCATTTAATTGTAATAACTAATCTGCTTTTATAAAGAGATATGAAGTTAGAATTGCTATAATTTCACCATTTGATTTTGATTGTGAAGAATTTACATAGAATATTCATGAATTAATAGTAAAATATGGAATTAAAATGGGTGTACAAACTAAATGTCATTATTTAAGTGGATAAAGGTAAAATTATATTGCAGAAATTGAATAAACTATAATGAAATATGTACCACATACTACTAATATGATTGTTATTGTACTTAATAGATACATGAAAAATTGTTATGCTCCATTAAAAAAAATGTGTATGTCTGAAAAATTTGGTGTTCTTACTTAAATGGTATCAACTGATTCTATTTCAAAATAAAAAAAAGGATTATTTTCTATTATTCAAAAATTAGCTATTTAAATGATGGATAAAGTTGGAAATTGTTTATGGTCTGTTTAATTGCCTTAAGTATCTATTTATATTATATTAGAAATGGCCTGATAATACTATGATTGTTAGTGTTATTATTGAAAAAGGTAAATTTGCTGGTATGTTATCAAGTCTTGATAAATCATATTCAAGATATTATAGTTAAATGAGTACAAAAATTGTTGAAAAATGTTTAATTAAAGATATTGGAGATATGATGAAAATATCATTCTTGTAATACAAATAAGAAAATGGTTGTTTCCCTCAAAAAATCATATATTTTAGGGATGGTTTAAGTGATGAATCAATATCTCATCTATTATAATACGAAACTAGAGAAATTGTTCTAGCTGCAAACTAATTATGCTAATTTGGAGATTAAATCATTATCATAAATATTCAAAATACAAATATCACTAAATTATTTAGAGAAGAACGAGACTAATATTTTAATGCACCAGCTGGAACTGTTGTTGATAGTGAAATAACAACAAAAAATTATGAATTTATCTTGGTTCCTGTTTACAGTTCTAGAGGTTGTCCAAGACCAATATTGTATCGTGTCATTTATGATACAATTAAAATACCTATGGAATAATTATAGGTATAATATTTTTTTAAAGTTTATAGGATTTTGTTTATGGGTAATGTTACAATTATTAAAATTGGACAGGATCTATTAAACTACCTGCTATTGTTAAGAATTGTTAAAAAATGATCAAATTTTTAGTAGAAATTCTATAAACAGAACCAATAAATAAATTAAGATCATCATTCTATTATTTGTGATGATTATTATTATCAAAAATAAAATAATATATGCAACAACATTCAGATATATATATATTATTGTTAAATTGATAAGATTCTTATCTAATTCAAGTATTTTATATACTAATTTATATTTAAATTATTATAGTTTAATTTTAAAAGGATATTTTTAATTATAATATATAAAATTATTCATTATTTACTAGTAACACATTTTTTCAATAATAAATATTGATCGAACATCTACTAACTCATTTATCTAGTTATTTTAATTAACTAATCATAATCCAAACTCTAATATCTAAATTTCTTTTAAACATAAAATAACCCTTCCTTTTATGCTTGAATTTCACTTGTTAAATCTATAATTTAATTACTTAAAGGATCTGTAAACATTAATCTATATATTTAATTTTAATTACTCTTCTATATTATTTTATTCTAATTTACTTATAGTAGTAACACATGACTCTATTTTTTATTCCATATCAATCAATTATTAATCTAATTTATGAATACTGGTATTAATTTCTTCATCCTTTAATTTAATCTCTCTCATTACTTTTGTTTGTTATTAATACTATTCTATCAAGTTATCAGTTAGCTATTTTTACTATCTGATTGAATCCATTAGTTTTTTAGATTGATTTAACAATTCAATATCTACTTTAGATTTGACTTCAGTTTTTATTTTCTCTTCTTTTGCTTCTTAATTCATAAACAATTCCTTTCCAAATTCAAATACTGATGTACTCATTTATAATAATTTATTAGCCATTCCTGTTTCCTCTTATTATTATTTTTTTTATTGATTATCTTTCTATTAAATATATTATGATTATTATTGTTATGATTATTGCTTTTATTAAATTTAAGAATAAGGATTTTATAGGGATTATTACTATTATTAAACAAATTAAGGTTATTATATTTAAGATTGCCAAAGTCCATAATTATTAAATTATTATTAATTCCCTTAATTCATCATCTATTATGGATTGTATTAAAATTAAGATTGATTATAATTATACGGATTTGTTTTGATGAAAAATGGAAAATTCCTTGACAAAGCTGATTGTATCTCTAACATAAAATCGATCTAATTAGCATAGTATTTTTACTATTTTATAATTCTTATTCCAATTCTTGACAGAGGGAATGAAATTATTAAAAGTAATAAACAATCCATTTTAGATTTCAGCTGATTTGTATAAAGGATTTGCATCAAATTTGTTTGCTATAATTAAGATATTTAATATACGATCCACATTTTTGAGGAAAATAAAGGGTTAGACTTCGGGATGAGAGGTTTGAAATCTTAAATGGATGAAGATTGAGAAGATGCTATTATTGTATGGAATGGGAACTAAATATAAATTAATAAATACTGTTTCCTTATAATTCTAGCATCGTAATATTAAGAGCTGTCAAAGTTGGGTTCAATTCTTTAAAATTTAAGAGTACTATTTTAGCATCTTCTATTACTTTATTTCTATAATAGATAAAAAAAAGTGATACTTTTTGGTATATTTACATTGATCCATAATGAGTTGGATTTCGTAAACCTTTTGTTTGAATTATGGATTGTCAGGACTGTAAATATTTTTTTCTGTATTGTTGTTATACATAATTAAAATTAATATAATAAAAATGAAGAGGAGAATGTAAATTAAATGTTAGTTAATTTAGTAATTTGATTATCTATCAGTAGTCATCATCCTCAAATAAAAAAGTTTTGGTGTAGACAGATGAATTTATTGATTTCTTAATTTACTAATATATTGTTTTGTTAGATTTGATAGATTATTTAGAGTTGGTAATAGTCTGAATTTGTTCATTTTTATCTGAAATATTTATTAAGTCTGTTTCAAACTTATGTTTCCTTCTAAGAAATTTAGATCTAATTTCTTTGACTTTCATAGAATTGAAGTTGAATTGATAGACAGTTTACGAATGAGGCTCTGTATCTGCATATTCTGCAACCTTCATATTGCAACAATTTCCCATCTTAAGTAATAATTTAAAATTAATATTATTTTAATCATTAAGGTTCTTCTTCTTCTTCAGTTTCCTCTTCAATAAGACCAATATCATCTTGGAATATTATATAAATATGATATTACAATTTTATTAACTCTAATTTAAGAGTGGTGCATCAGTAACTTCATCAAAAACTAATTCAAACTTATTGTCAAGATAATTTTCACAAACGATTTTTTTAGGATTGTAAAAGTTAGGAGGTGGAAATATTGGATCTAAACATATTCTTTAATATAAATCATTGAATACTTAAATGCATTGTCTAACATTTGAGGAATCAATTTTGATAAAAGTGGACAGCAAATTTCAATTGATGGATTAGTATTCGCTTCAATCATTAAAACTTTAAATGACTCATCTATCATAAAATCTAATCCAAATATTTCAAAAGTATTCTCTTTTTTATTCTAATCCATTTTACCATAAACAGCTTTAAACTAATCAGTTGCCATTTACTATAATATAATCTAACATATAATTATACTTTCATTTTTTAATAAATTTTTGTAAAATCACCTCCTAAATTCTCAATATATACACCAAAATCTTCAAAACTCACTTTATTACCTTTTTCATACTTTCCATAATCTTCTCCTTTCTTTTATACAGCATCATTTGTTAGATGAATCATTTTATTTGTTAAATTTTTCATTGAAAATTCTTTACTTGATGTTCTTACATATCCTTCAGTGTACCAATAACCTTTTTGATTTCCATTAATTGAAACATACATACTGTAACATCTAATATCAAATTTTCTTTTATTGTAAAGTAATGGACGATCAATATACAATTATACAATAAATGTCTTATAAATTCCATTCTTATGAACTTCTCTTGAATTTAATATTGATTATATTTCATATAAATCCTCAGAGATTTTTATACCATTACCTCTATTTGTAATTTCTCCTGGTTTTATTATCCAAATATTTCTTCGTTTGTCCTAATCAGAATTTATCATTTGCTATCTCTCTCTATAAGCATCTAAAAATTATTAATATTCTTGACCATCTTAACTCTTAATATGATAAGTGACTGGCAAATTATCAAATACATTTATATTTTATGATTCATAATAAGCTTTTATATTATAAAACAATGCTTTCTTATTACCCAAATGAAAATTATTTTCTAAATGATTATGCATTTTTATTGGTTCATTATAAATAGTTAATTTCTACTTTAAATTTTATATTTATTCTAAAGTTAATAATTTTGATGCTCTTCCTTAACCATTTAATATTTGACTATATTATCTAATCTCATTATGAGACAAAAACTTATTCCATTGAGAATACTCTATTTTATTATTTTTAATTTATTGTTCATTATCACTTTAATCATCTTATTTATTTAGTCCTTATGATCCTATTGTAGTAATTGAAGATGAAACACTCTAACATATATTTTATTCATTTGGATTTCTAATCAATGATTTCATATTCTCATGTATTTAATTCACTTTTAATTGAGTCCATACAAAATGACATTATTCGATTTCATCTTATATACTCCACCACCATCTAGATTTTAAAATTTATCTCACTAACATACCATTGTTCCCCTTTCCAACATATGCCTTATAAATATTTACTGTTGGTTAAACAAATATACAATTTGAAAGATTCATAATATTAAAATAATGTCTCATTGAAGCATATTTTTCTTAGAATGCAATATCTTAGGGATATTTTGGATCTATAAAATAAATACCATCAAACTTTTTTTATTTTTTTATTTTTTATTTTTACACTTATTATTATTATATTGGTTATAATATAACAGGACCTACTAATTATGGTATTTATTGTGATAATGACATTCTAGATATATTAGATATATTTTCAAATTTGGAATTTCTGGTTGTTTTAATTAATTAGGAATTTTTGCGAGGTTCTATTAATTTCAAAGCCTTTACAGTTTCAATTTCATTTACTCTGTTTTATTTGTCTATTTCCATCTTCTATTTCAATTTTTCAATAATATCTCTTTCTGCTTTAGAGTCCATAGAATTATTTAGAAATGCTTCTTATAATTTAATTCTCTCTAATGTTACTTTCAATAATACTTATCACATGGATAGGCTTTGATTATATATTTAAGGTATTCTAAGCATCAACTTATGGAAACATCTATAGGAAACGACCTTATTTAAATTTTTAATGTAGATTATAAGATTTCTTAGTAGATTTAGGAGAATTGACATCTATTAATATTGTAAATTATATACTTTTCTTCTTTTTAAGATGATGGATCTACTTTAAAACATTTATGTTATTGTTCCTCTCAAATTAAGGTAATTATGAGGAAGGGATTGGACTTTCTGATCTCTCTTGATATTGATATCTATATTATGAGATATGATTAGGATTATTTAAAACTGATTGTATAGAATCTTTGATGAGTTCTTGAATTCCAGGAGATTTTAATAATTATTCCATGGATCTATTTATTTATGGAGTCAAATGTTCGCTAAATTTAATATTCTACATATTATGATATGCTTAATATATTATTTGGTGATTTTTATACTAAAATTTAAATAAGGCATTGTTATTTGTTCATTATCAACCATTTTATATTTTTACAATCTATTTTATTATTTTTAATAATTTATAGAAATCTAATTAGATTATTTTACTTTCTTAGTGATTTCAAAAGTAATTCTTATAATTAAATGAATAGATAGATAATTATTAAATATGAATATTCAATATTATTATTAATTAAATTTATATATACATTCATGACCAAAGATTATTAAATGAAGCATTACTAAAACTTTTAGAAGCCCAATCCATACTTAATAACTAAGAATAATTAATATTAATTACTGATTTCTATGTTAAATTAGGTTTAAATGTTGGTAAATACTTATTTTCTAATTTCATTAAGTTTTCTTATTTTTTCTATTAATAATCCAATAATCTCAATTCTACTTTATCATTTTTATCATTATTGTTATTTCCTCTCCTTTTAATTTATGGTTTAAATGTTAATTATTAAACAGACTCTTTATCCTTTTTTATTTGTTCACTCAAAATATGATCATTTCTCTTCTCTAACCAACTTATTTATTAACTAACAAATTCTTCCACATTAACCTCTGCAACACTATTTTTCTTGAATTTTGCTCTTTCCTTTTCCCATTATTCTTAAAACTATTTCTCTTATTCTTCTTCTTAATTTTTCTTTATTTCATATTATTATTTAATCCATTCTTGTTTTTTCTATATAATTTATTATTATCTTATATGAATAGGCACATAGTATTCACAATCAGTCTTAATTCTTTATTCTTGAATTTCCATAATTTCTTGTCTTTTCTATCGTAAATTATTAACTTTCTATTTTTTTGGTGTTTCTTTTTCTTAAAATTGTTTAATATCTGCTGACTATTATCCTTATTCCTATTTCTTAATAGTATCACCAACTTTATATTTTATCTCTTTAGTTTAAACAACCTTATGACTTTAATCTTATTTATATTAAACATCTTCAGCCACTTCTGCTTCTTCCTTCAATTCTTAATCCATTACAATCACAATTTATTATTAAGATTTACTAAGATTCAGATTCTTTTGACTTTCATAAATGAAATATTATACTTAATTATTTAAAAATCTTTAATTTTGGGAAGATTTGGTAATAAATCTGCTTAAATAGCCATATCTTTAAATTAACAAATCTATTTGTATGATTCATCTTCTTCAATCAATTATTTTAGTTTTTTATCCAATAGAATACAACTCTTTTAATTAATAAATGGTCTAGCTATAGTTTATTATTTCTCTTTATTTTTCTCCTCATCAACTAATTTTTACAATTATTTTGTTCTTCTTTTCTCAAAATCATATAATCTATTCACAGTCTCTAAAAATGCTAATAAATTTTATATTTTAATTATTACCTTCATCAGATTCTAAGACTGCTTCTTTTTTTTATTTTTCTTGATCTTCCTTTATTTTATAATCCTCTTTTTTCTTTTTGACTTCTTCTGATTTAATTTAAGTTTGCTTGATATTTTATTAGACTTTATCAAATTCTATATTATGTATGGTAATGATACTTTTCACTTGTTTTTATGGTTATGGAATTGGTTTCTTAGTTATTTCTATAACTGGTTTTTATGGCTTCTTAATTAATTCACTTTTCTTTTTATTAAGAGCTTCCTGAAAGACTGTTTAGGAATTAGAAAATTTCCCATTTTGTAGCTTTAATATTGAAGACTCTTAAGATATTCTAGCAGTGAATACTTATCTGACTGGAGACAAGGAATTTTTAGTAGATTCAATTTATAGATATCTTTCTAGTGATTGAGATTAGACACTTTCTTTTGAGTCATCTAATTATTGATTCATTAAAAAATAAAATTTAATTATTATAGTTTTATTACTATTAATGAATGAGAATATATGTAGGGATTGTAAAATGACATTTGAATCAAGTGAATAATTGGCTAATCATGTTAAAAGAGTATTAAAGCATAAATTGATGATAGTTTTGTATAAATTCTGATTATGGTAATTTAAATAAATTGGAACAGAAACATGAATATGTTACAAAACCTGCCTATCCAGAAATGAAACCTAGTTTAAAATAATAGGATCCATAATCGCTAAAGAATTATGGTGGATATACATTAGTATGTAGATTTAATAAATCAGGACTAAATCAAATCAAATCTAAAAACTAATGATGATGATTTTAAAAGATTAGAAAATGCTGTACTTAGAAAGAAAGAGGATGAATTAATTGATTAAATAGATAAGCTAAAATAGGACAGATAATAAATGAGAGTAGTTAGTGATTAAGATGAACACATTTATTCAATACTGTTACAAGAAGTAGAATTGAAAAAAGAAAGAGAGTTTTAATGTAGAATAGAAAAAGAATAAATACGCAAATTAATTAATGAAATAGATTCATGGAAGATGTCTGTATTGGAAGAATAAAAAAAATAAATGTTAGAAAAGTTATTAGTGGAAAGAGAAGATTTGAAAAATAAATAATTATAATTAATAGAAGATATCAAATTATTTACTAGAGGACATAAAACATTCTTTTCAATGGAATAAGCATAAAGAGTTACTGATAATAGAATAATAGCATCAGCTTAATATTCAGAAGCAAAATAATAATTAGTTAAATTACATACTAGATTAGAATATATGGATGCAGAGAGAAATAGGATTTAAGATAATGTAGAGAGAATTAAATTAGGAGATTTTGGGGAAGTAAGAAGAGGAGAATCTTCAAAAAATAGTATACGTAATAGTTAATAAATATTGAATGATTAAACTTAAATAAGAAATCATTAGAATTATGAAGAAATTGCTAGGATGAAAGAAAAAATAGCTTAAGATGCTTAAAGATTAGAATAATTAAAAAGAGAATAAATGGAAAGAGTAGATAGATTGAAAACATCTAGACCTTAATCTCATTTATCAAATTAAGTTATAGATGAATTATAATAATTAAAAAATGATTATTAATAAGCAGGAGGTTAAGATCCTAAGTTTTTAAATGATGTAAATAATTTAGAATCCTTTTATAAAGGCGCAGTATAATAACCATAGTAATTATAATAATCATAATAATAATTTTAATAATAATAATAATAATAACCTAATTACTTTTAATAATAATAACCAATTTAAATATATTAATAATAACCTATGTTTATTAATCCTTAATAATAAGAAATTTAAACAATTAAACCAAAAAAGAAAGATTTTAATGATCCATTTTAATAATTTTCAAGAAAGAAAGAATTTTTCTTATAAAATAATGTAAGAGGAGTTGATTTAACTAGAGAAGAATAAATATTGATGAATTTACAGGCATAAGAAGTAGATTCTTTAAGAATGATTTCAAGAATTCCTATAGGAACTGAAATTTATAGATTTAAAATGGAGTAATATAAAGAATTGTCAACTATGAGAGCTGAAATGGAAAAAATTATTTAAGAATAAAGATTATAAAGAGTAAGAAGAAATTTTGAAAAGAAAAGAAGAGAAAAGGATAAAGAATTTGAAAATAATAAATGGGTTGATGATCAAAGGAAATTTATAATAGAAAATAGATTAAGGAATGATTTTGGAGAAGCAAGAAAAGAGAGTCATTTATATGATCCAGCTGAAGGATTAGTTATTCATTGGGATTATGTTTTGGGATTACCTAGAAAAACTAAACTTGCATAATTTGTTTTTGCAGTATTTAATAATATGCAATAATTAAATTAACCAAAATTAATAGAACCTTATGATTGTGAAATTGAAGGAGAAAGTTCTAATCGTGTATTAATTGGAGAGACTAGTCAATTATATGAAATACCTGCTCATCCAGAAGTATTGATTATAGTCGAAGTGTAATTACCTGTAAGTAAGAAATTAGAAGAGAATATTGGTAAAACATAATCTTATGGATGGACATAAATTGATTTGTTTGATTAATAAAGATAATTGAAGAGAGGCAAATTCAAATGTCCATTATATAAAGGACCAACAGATGCTACTATTACAATTGAAAATATTGCTAAATTGGAACCTATTCCAAATGCATGGTTTCATATGAGAATTACATATCCAAATGATGAAGATTTAGGATAAGTTAGATCAATTTATCCAGAATAGACTGCCATGGAATACAATATACCTTATATACATTTGAGAAGTTTATTTGATAGAAATTATGAAGCTGCCATTGAAGGAAAGGAGTAAAATAATAAAGATAATGGAGAATTTAGTTTGAATGGTTAAAATTATAAAGTAACTGAGGAAGTAGAAGTGTTTGGAAATAAAAGAAAGGCTACTCCATAAATTAAATAATATGTTTTAAAAGGAGATATGAAGAAAGGTTATAGGGTTCAAATACATTTTATTTAAAATAAAATAGCCAATAATTTTATGAGAGTCATGTGTGCAGCATTGACTGATTAACATCTTATGATGGATCCAAGTGGTTAACCATTAGCATTTAATACTACTATTCATGATCCTAGTAGTCCTAATCCAGGATAAAATACAGAATCTAATCCATTTCCACTTATAGAAGCTGATCCTTAAATGAAAGGTATCAGTAACAAAGCTGCTAGATCAATTTTGATTGAATTTAATGAAGAATATAGATTTTTTTACAATTTTTAAGAATAAGCTATGAGTTCTGGAAAAGTATTTTATTAATTGATATTTTTTAGACTATTTACCTTGGATTTTAAGTGGTAGAAAAGAATGCCTCTTAAGGAGGAGCCAATACTACAATGACAATGGGAGATTATGAAGTTATTGGTTGGTCTTATATATTATTTGTCAAGCCTGATGGGAGTGTTAGAACTGGGAGAAATACTTTAAATTTATTTAATCCACCTTTGAAAAGACCACCATTAGATGAATCAAATGTAATTAAAGTTATTTATCTTAGTTATCACAATCAGGAATTAAATTAGATTATTCTTTGTATGACTTTGAATATAATGATGAAGATATGATCAAATGGAAAAATCAAAGAGTTTTTTGATATATGACTTATATTTATATATTTAATTAATTAATATGTAACATTAAGGTGATTTAATGATCAATGTATATTTAATACATTCTTATTTTAGGCTGATTTAATTATCAAACAACTTCAATGTGCGGTGTGTATAAATGAATTCAATAACCCATTTTTAACTAAATGTGGACATTGCTTTTGTTATGTATTTTATGAAACATTTAAAAAAGAATTGTATCGAAGAAGTCATTAACAGATATCATAAATGTCCTTTATGTAATTTGGACTTGAATAAAACAGATATTTTTAAGAATAATCAAATTAATCAAATAAAATGTACTTTAATGTTTTACAATAGAAATAATTGATGAGTAGAGAAAATAATAATTAAATAATAAAGTAAGCAATGTGTTTGGGGATTAAACTACTAATTCTTTCTTACCTGATTATAAAATGGTATCAGATGTAAATCAATCTAATAAAAGAGATGTTTAAAAATGCAATTTAACAAATGTACAATATATATGAGAGCAAATATATTGATGCAATAGATGAATTCAAAGCTCGATAATAAGAACTTAAAATTGATTATACATAAAAATTAGAAACTGCCAAAGAGGTAATCTCCTTTGTGTCATAAAAGTAGGATCAAGTCAAAGAATAAATTTCTAATAATTATAAAGAAGCATTGAGACAAATTGAAAATAGTTTTAAATAACTAAAAGATTATTATGCAGAATGTGTTTATAAAACATTAGAGTAATTTAAATGTGAATAAATTGATGTAAAAATTATATTTAATATTTAGATTTTAATTTAAATTGTTTTGCCATAACAAAATACTTAATTTCCTTGGCCATTTAAAGTTAACAATAGAATTAGTTCAATTGCAGAAGTTATTCTTTAATATTTTGATTAAAAAAATGATCCAATCTAAAATTTTGATCCATCTAGATTAAAAATTATATTTTGCAAACCTTAAGATCTCTATAAGATAAGTCAATTAGTATTAAAATAAGATATTGACATTATCTCTCAATAATATCAAATTTATCCTATGAATAGTGAGATATTTTTGGCATCTTTGGGTCAAGTTAAGCAAGGCTCTATTATTGTTGTTATTAGTAATATTAATTTGAAGAGCTCATAACCTAAAGAATGCATTACATATAAATTTAATAAAGATAAATTAGTTGATTATTTTAGTTGTCAATAATGTAAAATTCATTGGGTATGTCAAACTTGTAAAGACTTTTGTCATTAAGGACATTAATTATCAATATATAGACAACAAGTTAAACCAGATTGGGCTTGTTGTTATTGTGTATCAAAGGGATTTTGTAAAGCATTAAATAAAAATAATTAATGATTAAGTATAATAAATATTAATATTCTTTCAGTGTAAAGTTTAATTTTCAATAGTTTATGTATTTTTGACTTTATATATATTTCAATTATTAGTTAAATCATTCAAGAAAATAATTCTTAAGTTCAGTAATTAAACATTAAAGTCAAATAAAGAGATTAAAATAATAATATTAATTTATTTCAAATGAGAAATGAGTTATATGAATAGGTAAAAATATATAGTTTGTATTTAAATAAAATATTTATTGTTTTCTAATAATATTAATTAAAACTTACAATATTTATTAAGTAAATGATATATAATTATTTTATTCTAAAAATCTATAGACTTTAAATTTGATATTATTAATATAAAATTGACTAATTAATAATACTTAAAAATGAAAGAATGTTAAAGTAATTTATTTAAAACAATGATAATGATTGCTATTTTATTAGTTTGTGTTCACTCAAAATATTAATGTGATGATTTTTAATACTAATTCTCTCCTTAAAGTTGTGTTTAAGATACTATAAATATTAGATGTAATTGGACTTTTATATGATAGGTCAATATGATTATTTTAATAACAAATGTATAGAGAATTATTAGGTGAATTTAGGATGTACTGAATAATTGAATAAAGAGGCATGTATAAATTAATTGACAGATTAACAAAATAATAGAGTTTATTGTAGATATAATTTGTTTTTATATAATAGGTTTTTTCTATGAGAAATGTAGATAAGTAAAGGAAATATAATTGTAATAATCTGGATGCTCAGAAATGTTTAATAAATATGCTTGTTTGAGTGTTCAAAATCAATCATGTAAATGGGAGTCTCAACAATGTTTATAATAATAGTAAACTGGTTAGAATAAATCTTAAATATGTAATATCTTTGTAACACCAGTTAATCCTTACACATGTTCTTAGTTACTGTCTGGTTTATGTATAAAATTTTGAGATAATCATAGGTATGAGTAGTGGATTTGAAGGAGACTTCGAATGTATAGAAATCAGATATGAATAATTATCATAATTATCATGTAATGAAATAGGATTAAATGAAGAAGGTTGTTTAGCATTAAATAAGGAAAATTAATATTGTATTAATTTATTAAAATTAGGTATTTTCAATAATAATAAATGTTAAGAGATAACATTATCATAAATCAAATCTTGTGATTAAAATTTAGGTTAATTTGCATGTTTATCAATTTTAAACAAAGATTTATAATGTGAATGGATAGACAAAAAATGCAGAAAGTTTGAAAGAGATTCTGAATAAAGTTGTGAAACCAAAAATAAAGTAAATGTTTCTGTTTGTTAAAATTAAAATGGATTTTGTTAATATGATGTAAGCAAATAAAAATGTAAGTTAATTGATAAAAATCATATTCATTCTATTTAATGTAATACACCAGGATTGTCAAAATTAGCTTGTTTATAAATTAATAATTAAAATTGTTCATTTTTTAATGGAAAATGTTAAGAATTATCAGATTTAGATCTTAATATTTATTAATGCCATATGGAACTTAATAAATAAGCTTGTGTTAATATTAAAACTCATTTCTAATATTGTTTTTGGAATGGAAATAATTGTGAAAGAAGGTATATGAATTAAGATTATGATTGTCCTTTAAAATTAAATAATAATGATATAAGAGTAAATGGAAATGTTTGTTAAGCAATATCTAAATATTAGAAGAAATGCAAATATGATTAATCAATAAATTTATGTATAGAGAGTTCAACAATAGATATATGTAATACTCCTTTTATTAATAAATTTGGTTGTCTTAGTATCATTAAAAATAAGGAAGCATGTTAATGGACAATGTAAGGTTGTAAGAATGTTTAGGTTATAAAATATATAACAACATGTAATAGTTTGGGAAGTGCAAATCCAATTGCATGTTCTTAAGTTTTAGAAATTGATGAGAAAGTAGGTTGTTATTTTAATATTTTAAAACAATAATGTCTTAAATTAAGTGTTGAAGTAGCCCCAAATTCAACAAAACAGGAAATACTATAATATCAAAAAGATTTGGAAATGTTAAGAAATATAGATTGTAATGATATTGGGATTGGTTTAAATCCAATAGCTTGTTCATCTATTACAACAAGAGGTGTAGCTTGTAGATGGAATAGAGATTCATGTGTTAAAATAGAAAATAAAAAAGATATTTAAACAATTCCATGTTTAAATCTAAAATATGCTAATTATAAAGCATGTTCTTATGTATAATATGGTGGAGAAGTTTGTAGATATTCATAAACTATTAAAGGATGTATAAATTCTATTATTAGGAATATGTAATGTAATCAATTAGGTTTAAATCAATTTGGATGTTAATTAGCTGAAGGTATGTGTTAATTTATAAATGATTAATGTTAATAATCAGATGAAAGTGATACAAATACAGATCCAATTTAACAAACTGGAAATTAAGTAGAAATTCCAAAACCTACAGAATCTCCAGAAACATGTGAAATTACATCACCTACTAAAACAGTTTGTGTTTCTTTTTCATCTATTTCATTATTATGTTAATGGAATAAATCAAAGAGTAGTTGTGAAAGTGTTGAAATAAAATAAAATTCATATTGTGCTGATTATAATGGAATTGATGTATCTGTTAATTCTAATGTTTGTGCATCAATTATATGTGATTTTCCTGATTATAATTATCTCAAAGGAGTTTAAGCAGATAAAAATAGAGGATATTGTTATTATAATAAATTAACATTTTAATGTTAAATTAAAAAGGAATTTTGTAACACTAAGTGTTGTACAGAAAGTGAGAATTATGGAATAAATGCCCATTCTTGTATTAAATTCTCAAGTAATGAACCTGGTGATTATTGTTACTTTATGAATTTAAGATGTAATGAATTGACAGATGACATTGTGGATTTATCAAATCTAGATTAAATCAAATTATATTATAATGAAAATAAATTACCATGTTCTTCTATGAATAAGAATTCTTGTTATATGATTGATTGGTCATTAGAATAACGCTGCTATTTTAATGGAATAGTATGTTTAAATCTCAATTATTCTTATTATAAGGATTATAGTATATTCACTTAAGAACCATCAGTCTTAAATGAGCATGCTTGTTTAGCTATTGATGGTCTAATAACTGAATAAAATACAATGAAATATTTTGGATATGATAATTTTAATAAAAGATGTAAAGAGATTTTATTAGATCCATAGTTTTAATTTGCTACTTGTGAAGATGTAAAAGGTAATAGAAATATCTGTTAAAGATACACAGTTAATAGCTATTGTAAATGGGATTGGAAATAATTAAAATGTATTACTATACCTTTAGATGAATATGAAGAAATTTAAACATGTGATATTGATCTAAATATAAAAGCATGTACTGATATTAAAAAAAGTAGTTGTCATTTTTCTTATACTACTGATAGATGTACTGATGTTATTGATTTTAATGTTGATTGCAATCATTTTGAAACATTAGGTAAAGTAAGTTGGTAAGTATGTTCATAAATCATCAAATTTGGATAATAGTGTGAATTTCGTAATTATACATGTGTGGATTCAACTAAAATTTCATAATCTTGTGATGGTTCCTTAGCAAATAACAGATCTTGTTTTAAAAATACTAAAGGATTATGTAGATGGGATCC